AAACAAAAAATGTATGTAGAATCAATAAAGATCTATTAGAATTTGGTTTATAAACATGTTGCTGCAACTCTGACACACCCACAAAATGAGAAAAACACACCCTCAAAGCTGCACATTGTTTGTGTGTGTTAAACCATTTTGCTACAGTTTCACATCGTTACCTTGAAACGATGTGAAACTGTAGCAAAATAGTGCACACCATTTGCAGATTGAAAGTGCCCCAGTTTTAGTGCATTTGGGGGTCATAGGTCAAATCATTGATCATGGTTTTTAGTCATAAAAATTACTTCATGATTACCTATGTAATAGGTGCATTACCACTTTTCTACCTAGAACACATTTGGCTGGACAGTCAATAAACTAAGGCCTTTTAGTTGATGTAGTTAATGTAGGTAGCCTTTCTACAGGTATGTAATGATACACCTGCCTATGTCAAATAAAAAACAAAAAACAAAAACATAGGTAAAAGACATCATGAAGCACTTCTCTTCAGAAGCCAGAGCTGACGGCTGCTTGGCACAAGCCCAGAGTTGAAAGACGTAGGTTGTGGCAGGGTGTGTAACAAGTAACATTGTTGGTTTAGTTAATGTTTTAGAACAATGGTTATTTTTGGCAGAGCTTCAATGAAAATTCTATTGAAAAGAGAGATAAGTTAAGCCTTGTTGTTGCAGCTCGCCTTTCCTGTGGTGCAACTTTTGGCATCAATCACATTTTAAAGACTTCATGAGACTGTCCCCGAGTAAAAGATCAGTTGTTTAGGGAAAGCTGGGTTCAACATGTAGTTCAATGGATAGCAGTTTACACTATACTGTGCAGGTGGTGTCTTGTCTGTCTTTAATTTTGCCTGTCCACTTTAGTAACTCCAGTGCTTTGAACAGCTGGTAAAGGACAGTTTGCTTACTGTTCCAATCGACAACAGAAGACGCCATAACACACATCCTCCATACCACCCTATCTCACCTAGACAAGAACGAGACCTATGTGAGATTGCTTCATTGACTACAGTTAAGTGTTTAACACCATAGTTCCCTCCAGGCTGGTCACACAGATCTTCCACCCTCATCCTTGATGCAGGAGCACCCCAGGGCTATGAACTGAGTCCCCTGCTGTACATTCTGTACATACATGACTATTTAGCCACTTGCGACTCAACACAACACAATCATCAAGTTTGTTGACGGCACAACTGTGGTGGGCCTAATCACAGATAACAATAAAAAGACCTACCTAAAGGAAGTAGAGGACCTGACCTGCTGGCGTCAGGACAAATATCTACTCCTGAAAGTCAACAAAAATAAGGACATGATTGCAGACTTTGGGAAGAAGCAGGGAAGGAACTATGACCCCCTTAAGAGGGTGGTTAGCCTCAAGTTCCTTGGTGTCCACATCACCTGCTGCATACTGACTCAGTGGTAAGAAATGCAAGGCAGAGACTGTTTCACACCTGAGCAAATTCCAGGTATCCCCTCAAATACTAAGCAATGTCTATTCCTGCACTATCAAGAACGTCCTGACGAGGAACATCACCCTGTAAAGAATGGCTCATTCAGCTGAACACATGGAAGGACATTTACACCAGACACTGCAAGAGTAAGCCCAGGAAAATCAATATGGTTCCAAATAATGGTCTTTTCTTCCTGCTGAGGTCACGAAAAAGGTACCACTTACACTAGACCAGTACTGAGAGGCTTCAGGAAGAGCTTCTACCCTCAGGACACAAGGATTCTAAATGAAGACACTGCCTAAGACTGCCCAATTATACACATGTATTCATTATTTCAGTCTTTTTATGCATAATTGAAGGAGCTGAAAGGGTTGCATTTCACTGGATTTGTATCTTGTGATTTTATGCAAGAAATAAATGGAATGGTGATTTGATATACAACAAAAATCCAGCAGAGGTCCCAGTATGTGTGGAACTTCTAAAATACCCATTTTCTGAATGAAGTATACACTGCAGTCACAAATCATTATTAAGTATACTGGTGAGACTATCAGTCCTCAATGATTTAGTTTATTAAATTGGTTAAATCACTAACAGAGTTGGAGAGAGAGAGAATTTTTAAGCTCAAAGAACGATGTAGCAATGAAAGTCTGTGAAGAGCTGTAATTTGATATTAAAATGTCTGTAATATTTGGTGCTGTCATTGTATTTCCCTACTTGTTACAGTGTAATTCATTGTGAACAACATTTTTGTTAACACTGACACTGTTATATCAAGGACAAGTTGGAAATAGGGCTGGGCGGTATGACCTAAAATTCATATCACTGTATAAATCGAATCCCTTCACGGTAATGGTATATATCGCGGTATAAATTTAAGTGTAAAAGTTATAATAGAAGTGTTTCTGAATGGGTTTTGTAGTCCCTTAGCAAAGCTTAATTTATTGTGCAGAATGTAGATCTCAAAACTCAAAATTAAAACCCAGTACTCACTCTATGGTGCAAAATGTCCCCTGGGATCTATATCAAAAGGTAATTTCCTTCTTTTAGCAAAATCCTAAATGACTGAGTTGTGTTTTTTCCACCTGGACCTTTATGCTCTGCCATTTCTCCTCTAATCATCACGCTGTAACCTGTGACAGGCTGTTATGATACCACAACTATCACACATTCACATATGGAGTTTTTTGTGGAGCCCCTAGTGTCACATAGGTTTACATTACCAAAGGTTTATGACAAACTCTCTTGCCAAAAACCAACTCCCGTGTGCGCACGGCGAGAGAGGAGAGGGAGAGACGCTGTGCTGCTGCCAGAGGAGACACTGAATGAGTTCCCTCTGAGCGGTAAGTCGCTAAAAGAGTCTGAGAAGTCCGGGGCTGTTCATACAACATTAACTCACTCTCTCACAAGTTCTCCAGCAACACATGTTGCACGTGCTACGCTAAATCACGGACGTGAACCAGCTCCTCTTGCTCCGCTGTCTCTGTGCTCGCAGCCATTTTCACACTGAGGCAGGTGCGATGACGTCATCGACGATAGGACAGTAGAGCGCAAATCTCTACCGTGGGCCAAATTTATATCATTTCTACCGTCTACCGCATATACCGCGCAGCCCTAGTTGGAAACAACACTTGTCCTTCTTAAACCTGTCTTATTCTTTCTGGCCACTTGGGGGCAGTGCAACCACCTGTTAACAGAACATAGACATCAGCTTGTTAGGCTGCGATGGCTAATGTGTTAACGAACTATTACCTCTCCATCAGACACAAGTCTGGAGTCCTGTTTCTGGCCACAAGACAAATGTAAGTCCAGTATTCACTCTGCTTTTAGCTGTTTGCTCCAACATATTTATCAGTTAGCCCTTAACTTTATCAGTATGCTGTTTGGCAGAGGTGGGGGACTCGAGTCGTATGACTTGACTTGAATCAGAGCTAAGTGCAAATGGGATGACATGACACACTGATAAAGACTCGACTTTGTCTTGGTATTTATGACTTGAGACTTGACTCAGGCTTGAGACAGATGACTCAAAGACTTGACTCTTTTTTTTAGTGAATGCATTTTTCTAGATACTTAGAAGTTACATTTGTTTTTGAAGGATGATTGGGTAATTTCTTGTGCAATGTTTGCAAACATGGCGATCTACTAGGACCCAGCAGACAAGCAGAGACCAACATATGAGGTAGCTATCATGGAGGGGGCCTGTGTAAATTTAATAAAGTTCAGATTGAAGGATTATGTTATCAATGAAGGCAGTAAGAAGAGAAATGCAGTATGCAGGGTCTGCAGCTCGACAGTCAGTGACACGAACACTACAACATTCAATTTCATACGTCACTAGAAAACCCACAATGAAAGGTGCAGGAATGTGTCTTTTTAGCTAACTTGAATCACCACGTATGACTAGACTTGTGATTAGCTTGACCTGAGCAATGACTTGTCTTGTTTGACTTAAAGCTGGGACTGGACTGGACTTGTTTGAATCTCACCTCAGTAACTTGGGACTTGCTTGAGACTTGAAAATTAAGACTTGCTTGTGCCATGCCCGTGTGTGATTTACTCCCACCTCTGCTGTTTGGTGGTAGTCAGTCAGCATATAGTGGTTTATCACAGATTTTACTTTGAAAACAAGGTTAAAGTGAGCTGTGAACAGACTGTTAAAAAAAAAAAAGGACAACATGACGGCTCCTCAAAAGTGAAGCCAAAACATTGTTCGCCCCGTGGTGGCTTGCTGCAGTGTAGATCATAAATCTTGGCCCCTTCTGTGTTGGCGGATTGGACATGGGCCAAAGTAAAACATCAAAGTAGACATTTAATAAATGTTTCCCCAAAATGGATTCTGTCATTTTAGGTAGTTCTTATCACATAGCAATGTGTTCAACTGCTCATTTTTTCTGATAAGTTAAGTTTTAATTATTTGATGCTATAAAAGGGGGATTTCACATCATAATTAATAGCTATGTGTGCCAATCAGTGTGCCCATGATCAATGGTGCTGCTCACAATTGGTTGGACAGGTGTTTGGGCAAGAACATGACACTGCAGAGACTGCTACTGCACAGACCTTGGCTCCTAATGACATCACCAGGGCAAGTTAGCAGCGTCTGTATCCGGGATATTTTGGCTTCGCTTTTGTACCAAGGGAGCAAGTGGAGACGCGTCGTCTATCTTTATATACAGTCCATGGATTGAACTAAAACAGTGCATTTGCAGGCATGAAACCAAAACAATGAGCTAAAAAAAATGCTAACGCTGTGAAGAGTTAAGAACTGAAGAGCTGGGTTGCTAATTTTCTGTGGGTTTGTCACAAGTGACATCATTCACATTACTTAGACTCATTCCATTTATTGTTTATATTCAAATATCAATAAGAGCTGCTTTAATTAAAATAAACACCAAATTCAAAACCATCACCACATAGTGGGTTGGCTGTCTTTTTTTTCACTAATTTTGCAGTGATTTTAGTTGCCTCTAAATCACATTTGAAATAATAAAATAAAAATTTAAAAAAATTAAGGAGAACAAATGACCAAACCAAACACAACAGAACACAAAAGTGGAAAAAAAACTTAAGATTTATTTGTAAAGCACTTTCCACAAAATGCCCTGTAAACAAATTAGAGGGACTAATAACAATAAACAAGTTTCCTAAAAATAAATAAATAAACTTTCTACAGTCCTATTCAGGTTAGTTTCCCCATCTGCTTTGTGCGATGGCTGGAGTGTTAGAAAGGTTCTACCTCTAAAACATACACATTAACCCCTCGCTGCATCCACCTGCGCTGTCTCTATGGCGACATAGCTGCGGTAATGTGTACTTTTGGTCCGTTGCCAGGAGGAGGACTGACGTTAATACAACTTTTCTTGTAACTGTTGCTTTAAAGTAAGTACAAACAAAACAAGATGAAAAGTAAAAACTAACAGTTGATATTGTGATCTGAAAATGTACTTCTTCTGTACTTCAACCCCCCACCCTGAACGTAACAGAAGATCTAAGTGTGGATTGTTAAAATGAAGATGTCAGCAGTGCCTGTCACCAGTCCAAGAAGAACACAGAAAAAAACTGACTCTGTCCGCAATGTAGAAATCCACACACGCACACACGCACCCACACACACACGCACACACACACACCAGATATCAACAAAACTAAAAAGAGCATCAAGTTTCTTTCTGTCACTCTGCTCTAACCTGATGCTCTACGAGCTGGGCTCAGTACACTGAGATATTGATCCCCTATGTGAAAATGAGATCGCTGACCTGAAAAATAACCAACAGCAGGACAATACCACACACTTTGAATCTGGACCCACTCTTCAATGCTAGTCATAATATAATCTCTCATACTGGTGTATGCACCTCTCTCCATCTGACCACGTGATGATTTAAAGAGCAAAGCAACTCCAATACCCAGAAATCTTGTGAAGTGACATCAGTAGACTGCACACAGTATGCTCAGGTTTCTCACCATGGCCGGTCTGTAACGCTTTAGACATAAATATGTAATGCAAGAGGGCTTTGAACAAAAACATGAGTGAGCAGAAATTTTAAATTCCTATAAGTCTTCCTTCTTCCTCTGAGGGATTCAGCCACAGAAAATGAGTCTTATTACTGTAAAAATGAGAAAATTAAAAACACACCAAGATCTTCAATCAACTTCACTCGCTTCGTACAGCAGCATAGACGACTTTAAAACCACACTGGGTCACAAAAACAGCAGAGAACAGGAATACAACTCAACACTTGGGGGTTACGGGCATTACAGTGACTGATATGCCATGCCGTCGACCAATGAGCAACAACAGACAACACTGAAAGTGCTAGAGAACTGTAATGACTGCAGGACCAAAGGTTTCCAATGCAAAGGTTAATGAATATCTGACAAATAGTGACAAACCCAACTCCGACTTAGCAGCAAAAGTTGGTTCCAGGAGATTAAAAGCGTATTTTTTCAGGATTTTAAGAAAGGTCCTTGTTACAAAGGTTTTAGAAAGGAGAGAGCTCTGTTTGCAGCTGTTTGTAGGTCAATGCCAAGGCCGACAGCAGCCTCAGACACCACCAACAACTCCCGCTCAACAACTGACAGTTACACCTTCATTTGCCACATAAGGCACAGTTTGCAAAATACAACAGGTTTTTCATGAAGGATGATATTTTACATGAACTTATTCACAAAACAAAAGTAAAAACAATTCATTGAAATGCATCATAGAAAAACAATGCATAACAGCCTACAAAAGATATTCAAATAAAAATAACCCAAAAATATCAGCAAAAAAAAAAAAAAGTTGAGGACCGCTAAGACACAGTAGCTTCAGACGCCTGCATGTTTCTGTCTTCATCAGGTCCTTATCAGCACCCTGCAGACAGGGTGTGTGTGTGTATGTGAGTGTGTGTATGTGAGTGTGTGTAGTATGAGAGAGAGAGATTGGGATGAGAGGGGTCAACAGAGGTCAACATGTCAGAGCCCAGAGATCACTGTTGGTGCAACCTGGATTGGCAGCTGGCAGTAGTAAAGAGCGAAGCCTTTTAGGTTGCTTGAGGCACCACTTCCATCACCTTCTGACAGAAGGCTGTGGTCGAAACTGAAAAACACACACACCCGAGGTGATTACCCACAATGTCGAGTGAAGGAACAGTTCCAGAAACATGCAAAGATGCAGGTGTTGTACTCACAGATTCCATTCACCATCCACTTTGGTTTGCTCTTCCACCACACACCAATTAAGTAAACGGGAACTCCAGTAGCAATGATGCCAAAGCCAATCGCACACTCCTTTGGAGTCTTCCAGAAGGAGACGATGATGAGGAAGAGGCAGGCGAGCACGAAACTTATTGGCAGCAGAATATTCACCTGCAGGGAAAAGATGAGGGCATTTTTGACAGAAACTCCAAAGAATTCAAACTCATCAGTCAAAGCGAGAAGTTCCAAAGCTCCCCTGTCTTAAAGGGATAATTTGGATCTTCTTTAGTGGCTGTGCTCCTGCTGCTTCTCCAAACTGGGGCCTTGCCGACTGACATCTACCGTAGGTAATGCACTGACCATGGAAAAGTGCTTCATACAACTGAAAAAAAAAAAAAAAAAATCAACGCTATCCCTTTAAAGGAACAGTTCGATATTTTCATTAATCACCTCTTTGCCGAGAGTTAAATTAGAAGACAGGATTTTAGGCCAGGTGCAGTAACTTTGTGGCACAGAACCTCACGTTAAATCAAACATGTTTAAGATTAATTAAACAAGATATGAGAAAATCAGTGAGCTTTAGTCAGTAGGTGAACTTTGTCACCTGCACAGATCCAGACTGTCTATTTCCCCGTTTCTAGGCTAACCAGCTGTTGGTGCTGGATCTAGGCTCTGGTATCAATCTTTTCATCTAACGCTTGCCAAGAAAGTGGGTTAATAAGAGGGTTTCCCAAAATGTCAAACTATTCCTTTAACAGCTACAGTGCCATTAAAGGGATTATTTGATCCTTGGAGCTCTGTATTAAATATATCTATTATACATTTTGTTTTAAACAAATCTGTCTCATTGCTGAAACGGGTCCTCATAGTGTCCTATCATGTTCTCCCTTGACACTAGTTTATCTTTGCTCAGCACACTGCAATGAGATATCACCAGTACTGAGGTGATGCCACCCAGAAGCAAGGAGCAACATTCACATTCATTTGGGGTTGTGTTTCTGGCCACCGCTGAATCTAAGTCCAACATTAAGTCTCCTTTTTGCTCCGTTTTTGTCTCCTCCAACTGCCAGAAAAATACCTGGCGCTTTCACAGCTACATGTTCCACTGTGTTTACCAGCTAGTCACCAACTTTCTCTGCCTGCATTTTGGAGCTTGGCAGGTCGTGTACATAGAGACAAAAATTACACAATGAAAGTGAAGGATAATGGTTGAGTGGGAGGCAGGAAACCAAAACAATGAGCTGAAAGTTGCTAAAACTTCGAGGGGGAACTGCAGAGCTAGTGATTATTACTTGCAGGTTTGTCACTAAGAGCGACCCCTTCACATTGTACAGACTTGATCCATTTCTATTATAATAATGATTACAGCACTGTGTCTGTCCGCATGTTTCTGGGGCTATTTTTTATAGTTTGGACTGAACCCCATAGCTCCATGGGAGTAAACCCTAATGCTACAGAATACAATTGTATCTTAGACAAAAGTGTGCTTCCAACTTTGTGTTTGGGAAAGGCCATTTCCTGTGGCACCTGTGCACAAAGCCAGATCCATAAAGAAATGCTTTTCTGAGTCAGGTGTGAAAGAACTTGATTCTAACTCCATTCAATGCATCATTTTGGATGAAGTTGAACTTCCGACTGTGAGCCAGGCCTTATCGCCCAACATCAGTGATGGACCTCACTAATGCTCTGAAGCTGAATGGAGGCTGCAGCCAGGCTCCATTCAGGCTCTTATAGCAGCAGATTAAGGCCCCCAACAATCACTAATGAGTGGTGTGTTCAGGTGACTATATACATCTATGCATGTAGACTGAACTGAAGGTGTCATGAATCTAAAAGGTTACTGATGAACAGTGTCTTAACCAAACAGATGAATGAGTCAAACTAATTACGCGATTCTCCGGCGGCTCGGCTCCAGATCTGTTGAACAGCAGGAATGTGACAGACAAAGAAAGGAGAAAGAAATAGAGTGGGAGAGTGAAAGAGAGAGATAGAGGTCAGCAGTGAGACAGTGCCACCACTGTCCCACCACTCAGTCACACACACACACACAAACACACACACACACACACATAATGCTGGGCCAATAGATCTATCTGCCTCTTTCACTTCACTGCACTCACAGACTCCACCTCTAACCAACACACAACATCATGCCAGCGGGCAGATGAGTAGAGCCAGGGCAGCCATCAGGCTCTAATAAGGGACACACACACACAAACACACATATATACACACAGAGCATCACACGTGAAAGCTCACACACTCACATTCAAACCAAGTGCAACAAGGCACAATGGTGTTCTGTGTTTTAGAGAGTCCTACAGCAACTGGTCCAGTCAGGAGGCATAGTGCACTGCACTTCCTCTCGCGCACACAGACACACAGACACACACACACTACTACCCAGCAGGCCTCAACAGCTGACAAGCATCCAGCTTCTCTTCTGTCCTTTAATCTGCAATCAGTCTCTATTCATCTGAGCTCTGCTGAATGGATCTTTGTTGGTCGCATGAGACAAAGAAGAAACATTTTGCGCTGCCAAAGCTAACTCGAGCGGGAGTCAATGGTGACAAAGACCTAGTGAAACTTTCGTGTCCATTCGTCTCCAACCATCCGTTCATGTCCCTCTATGAACGTCATCAGACAAATCAGGAAAAAATCCATGAACCTGACCTGTTTTCTTTTGTTATGTTCTTGCATGAAGTTTGGCTAACCTTGATTGGTCGCTCCAACTCTGGCTTCTTATAACGGAGCCACATCATCCCAACAATTGCCATGGCAATGCAGAGCCAGTTGAAGAAGCTGAAGAAGTTTATGACGGAGAAGATGTCGTTGGAAAAGGCGTAGAGCAGCGTCATCAAGCACTGGAGAGAATGGGAGAGAAGTAATTAGGTGTGCCATGTGTGAGAGACAGCAGCAAAACAGTTATATGTTTCTAGTAAAATTATGCTGTTGTTGTTGCTTCATATCTACACATATCTCACAGCAGCTTTTTCCTAATACTCCATTACTACTAAAAATCATTGCAGTGGTACCCTTCTGTTGTAAAGACCCAAGGGTACATAGTGTAAGATAATGTGCATTAGTGGACTGTAAATTAGAAACTAAGAGCACATACAGTGAATATAAGTGAGGGCAGCGGAGTCAGCAGGGTGGGGTGGATCATTGACAGCAGGTTGGGCAGGTGACCCTCCCTGGCACCCACGAAGAATAGCCTGAGAGGAAAGGAAAGACATGGATACATAGTATGTAAATATACATGATTCCAAACAATGCATTTTGTTGCCATGATGTGATTCTATGTGTTCATGCTAAGACGCAACCTCCAGGGCTGAAAGACTAGCAAAAATTAGCATTTGCATTATCACATTCAAAAATAGCTCTAAGTCCACTGTGCTAAATAAGCTAGCAACTAGTATTAGGGTTGACTTCACCCACATTTTGGGTTGCCTTCACCCTTTTGTCCAAATATGGTCACTTCTGGCTCCAAAAATCCCAGATGGCAACAGCCAAAATGCCAAACTTGAGGCTTCAAAATAGGAGTCCACAAACTAATGGGTGACGTCACAGTGGTTACATCTATCATTTTCTACAGTTTACGGTTTATGCGGGTGTTTTTGAGCTCTCGCTGTTTCCCCAAACCCAGTTTGATGGTCTACATGTACTTAAATGGATTTTCATTTGGTGTGTCTTACCTAGATGATGTGAACAGAGAGCCGTTGACAGATCCAAAGCAGGACAGACCTACAAACACAGGGATGATCCATGCCATCGGACCCAGGTGGTAGTTACCAAAATCCTGTCGAACACACACACGCAAAGAGTATATGTCATAATAAGTCTAGTAGCAAGTCCAACTCCAATCACACCACGACACGGCACAGCAACATTCATCAACAATAGGTTCACACAGTTTAAAAGATGTATTTGTACCATTTACCCCTGTTTAATAACTGTCGGCAAAATATTGCTCTTCTGTGAAAAACTTTATACTCGGACAGAGGAGGGTTCAATAGAAGTGAATGGCGTAATAAGCTATGAAAGCTTCCCGTGTTTTGGACAATAGGGCAATACTGTGAAGACACCTTAATATTTGTCGGTGGCATAAAGTTGCTCGTACTACTGTATATCCAGAGGGAAACCAAAGAGCTATGAGTGAGGTCACTGTTTCTAAAACTTTGTTTAGTAACGTACCCCCTTTTAAATATTATTTCAGCCAAGTACCTCATGACCAATGCAGAGCATTTTTGTAGAAGAAAGAGCCCATATAAAAAGGAACAATAAAATAAGGTAAATCCCATTAAAACATATTCTTCTTGATACTGATGGTATTTTGTAATAATATCAAAACTGACAAACATGAACATGATTGCATTTGCTGCAGTAGTTGACAGTTTACAGCAGTTAACGATGACATTGAAAAAAGAAACACTAAATAAAAAATGCGCTTTATCAAACTTATTATAGTGTAATAATTTCAATAATAATGCATGACTGATATTTTAATCTCAAGTACCCCCTACAGTACTCCAAATTACCCCTAGGGGTACCACCACTTGAGAAACACTGACTTAGGTAACTATATAGATAGTAAAAATGTATTGACTGTATTTGGCAGCCTTAATAAAAAGAAAGCAACAGTAGTAGAGAGAAAGTGTGTGCACTCACCACAGCCACAGCCTCGGAGTTGAGCATCTGCTCAGGGGAGAGGGTGGTGAAGTACGCCAGGTTGGTGAGAACGTACACTGCTGTCACTATGGGCAGAGAGATGATGATGGCACGGGGAAGGTTTCTGAGGAGGACACAAACATTCTTAGTCACAAATACAGGCTCTGAATCACTCTTCAGCAAACAAGTCCATACTTTATCATAAAAAATACAATTCAACTTGTTAATACTCACTTGTAAGGCTCGATCATCTCCTCAGTGACAAAATTCAAGTAGTTCCTGTGAGCAGAGGAAACAACAATCAGAGACATAGTGCATAGCAGCGTAACAGCTATAATGCAAACTGTACAAGTAAAACTGTTCTGTAGTAATCTGTAAGTGGAAAAGAATGAGTGATACGTTGAGTTTTCCCAAATTGCATTCAAAACGCAGGAGCTTTTTGGGGTTAGGGTTAACACCAAAATGATCTACTTTATTTAGACAAAGAAAGACATTTTGGGTTTTTTTTTTACAGTGTAAAGACAGACAATAGAAAGAAACGACTTAATTGATCACACTTATCTTGATGATAACATTATATTATTGATTAACAGAATGTTGAAGTCCGAAGTAATGAATCATGGTTACACATATTCATTTCCATCCTTCCACCATGAGGGGTCCCCAACTCAGCAGGACGATCATTTTATGATCCTATATTGGAAACTGGAAAACGAACAGGCAGCACGGTGACTTGCAACCTGATCACGCAGGTTGGTCAACAGTTACTCACCAGCCACCGTAAGCAAACAGGCCGCTGTACAGCGCCAGGCCGATGCTGCCAAACTCATATTTGGACCCCTGGAAGGAATATTCTGGAAGAAGAGAATCTGTTTCACCTGGAGAAGAACAGGGAGAAAAAATTGGTTAAGACAAAAAAAATCCATCTGTCTGCAATATTTCTCTGCAGGGAAGTTTACTCTCCAGTGTGGAGAACCCCAAATGTGGAAGAATAAATGAAACAATGATCTGTGGTTCCCCAACACACACACTAACACGCACCGAAAAAGCCTTTAGAGGGGGGAAAACATTCGGCTTAAATCTGTCTCGGTATTTGGATCAGTGAAGGACTGCAGGATGTAATGGAGTTAAGACAGGCTGAGACAGTCAATAAGTGACCCAGACTGTGGCGCCGCTCCGTGGATCGACCTGAGGCACGGAAGGATCACACAACAGACAAACAGAAAGGACCACAGGAAGAGAGGGAAGTTTTATTGCCTTGCTCAAGGGCAGAGCAACAGCAGTTGAGAGATGGGAGAGTATTTCACTTCAGTTTATCAGCTAATTTCTGATATTTTGGTCACAGCCGCTCTTCTCTGACCTCCAGGTTGCTGCTGGTTTGAGGAGATCTGCGCCACATTCCTGACGGAGCAGCACCCAACAACACACACACACATTCTCAGACACAGCGACGGTTGCTAAACCAACAGCCTGGGGTAGTGTTGGTACTGGGAGGGTTAGCCTTAAGCCACCGTGTAGCGTGGGAAAGGCGTGACTACTGTGCTGTCCGTGTGACTAACTGTGCTCCCAACAAACAGGCCGATGTGTGATCACAGCATCCTAAGATTCTGTTGCCACACCTGGTCAGTGCTGCTGCTCCACATACCAGCCTGACAGGGGAGCTGTGCTGGGGGTCCCTGGGGGCCTGGCCTGTAACATTTCTAAGCACATGTCTACAACTGAGGTTCCTTATGGTTGTTTCAACTTCATAAAAGCACCAAAGAGTTTCTGTGGGTTGAAGTAATTGAATTGTGGATTCTTCCTCAATGGGTGGCATGATGGTACATAACTGTTGCCTCGTAGTAAGTAGGCTCCAGGTTCCATCTCAGGTTTGGGGCCTTCTGTGTGGAGTTTTCATGTTCTCCCTGTGTAAGCATATGTTTTCTCTGGGTTCTCCGGCTTCCACCCACAGTCCAAAGGCATGCAGGTTGTTTGTCTTTATATCTCAGCCCCGTGATAATCAGGCAAGGCCACCTCTTGCCTAATGTAAGCTATGATTGGCTCCAGTCCCCCGAAACCTTAACAGGATAAGAAGTTACAGAAAATAGATGATGGATGGATTCTTCCTCAGTGTAAAAAAAGATTCTTCAAAGGCTAGATTGGTGCAAGTCAATCTGCCGACAACAATAAGCCTCCTGGGGCAAAGACCAATATTTTGGTGTAGCCAGCAGATATCCAAGACCTTATCTTCCATGGGCTGGTCATTTCAGCTAATCTAAAACACACAATCGATAGCCGATGGGTTCCGAGAGTGCATTTCGACAAACGTGTTACACCCCTCTACAGGAACTGTTTACTGGGCGATTTTGTGTTTCTCACTCTGCATGTGGGATTCTACTGCTTTGATTCCCACTGTGCTGAGTTTTTGAAAAACTTTCTATATAAAATACACCATATGCATTGCCTTGTACAGGTTTCAGCCATGCCGCAAAGTCTTTGTCAATGGCAGATTTTTATTTAATTTGCACTTGTTGTCTAGGGTATAGTGACAGCTAGCTAGCAGACAGAGGATGCTCTGCTTTGAGCATCCCAGCTGCAAATAAAATGAGTGTTGTTGATTTCACTATTCTGATCTGTGTGGCATTAAATTGAGAGATATTCTGTAAATTATTTAAAAAAAAAATAAAATAAAATTTAAAAAAAGGTGTTACCAATTATTTGGGTATTTCACAATGCAATGTGAGGAACAAACTAGAAAAGCACTCGGAGATCAACCAATTGTCCCATTATCAACCTTTACTGAAAATTTCATCAAAATCCGTTCAGAACTTTTTGAGTTATTTTGCAGACAAACAAACAGACAAACAGACCAACGCCTGCGAAAACATAACCTCCTTGGCGGAGGTAAAAAGATTGATAAAATCCTACTTTTCATGTCTGAGCAGTTTAAGCCTCTTGGAAGACTGAAGACATTTAACACTATATAAGGCCATATTATTAGATTAATGAATTAAATGCCTTTCAAGACTTTTGAAGGATTCTTGGAGTCCTGAATCAAAGAAAAGCAACTGAGAAGGTGTAGCCAATGAATATTTGGCATTTTTGCTATTAAAGAAATACTTGGACAATTAATTAGCAAATAGCAGAATAATTTTCTGACTGATTTACTGTTTCAATTCTACTTCAACCACCGGCGCGGAGGCGTAAAATTCTGTATGATTCTTAAAATAAGTTTTAAAAAACCTTTATAAAGATGAGCAGATTGAGATAAGTAGAGATGACAAGTATTTGGCGCACAGCCATGCACCTGTAAAGGATGACTAATTCCTTGAAGTATTGTAACAGCAGGTTTAACATGTCTGGAAGGAAGAGGAGATATCTCACAGAACAGCCATTTGAATCATCTATTCCACAGAAGCAAGGACAAACCAATCCATCATTTAGTTCCTGTGTCAACACAAATGTATCAAATATCAAAGTTACTTCACTCACTGCAGGTTTATCTATAACTAAAATCTCACGCAACCATCACACACCTCAGGCCATGGCTTCATTTCTTTACACACAAATACACACAACCACTGGTCAGGACCGCCTGCCTCCAAACCTGCAGCTCACCTCACATCTGTGAGGCTTGAGCTCAATGAAACGCCTAATTGGCTCCTAACCTTTACAGCTTCTTACGGTGGTAAAGTCTGAATCATCCCTGACTCATGCTCTTATTCATCTTTATTCAACCCTGTTCTGCCCAGCCTTGAGATGAGGACTCTATCAGGAAATGATTGGTGGTGGATAAACACAAACATGTCCTCCTTCAGTCTTCTTTGTGTCTTTACTTGACTCTTGCACTGCAATTTACAGCTTTACTCGTTCTTCTGTTACTCACTTTCCAACACACTGGTCAGGAAACACTCTGAGCTGCGATCAGTCAGTCACATGATACCAGTGCCAGGCAGTGAAAGTGAGACACACACACACACACACACAGAATGAAATATGCATGCACCATGCAAAACACACACACAGACCCAAAAGGTGCACATCAACAAAGAGTGAATGAAAGACAACCTGAGTTCCAGTCATTAGGCCTAATTTAAAAATAGGGACTAGAAAGACTTAATAGAGTCAATTAACACTTAAAAGCACAATGACTTTTGATTAGTGACTGAAAATTATTTGTGGTTTTAGCTGCTGTAACAATGTTTTGACAAACAACAGTTTTATCCCTCCACCCAGTAACTCCCTCTAAAACCACAGCCTGACATTATGACATTTGTGTTTGTGCACAGATTAAACAGACAAGATACATTCCGTTAATTTGTCGGCTTTGGAGGTTCTGGTTGGTGTATTTTTGAACCACTCAGTGAACCGGGCTAGCCATTTCCCCTTGTGTCCAGTCTTTATACTAAGCTACGCTAGTTAGCATGTGGCACTCGCTTAATACTTATCGCACAGATATGAGAATGGTTTTGATCTTCTCATCTTACTCTCTGAAGGACACAAACAAGCCAAATTCCCACTATGTCTGAAGTATTTTTTTAAAGGTCTAGTGTGTAGAATTTAGTGGCATCTAGCGACTAAAACTTAAAAACTACAGCAGCTAACACGACCAGGGTTTGGTTTGTCCATTCTAGGCTACTGTAGAAACAACATGGCAGCTGCTGTGAAAGAGGACCCGCTGCATATGTAGATATAAATGGCTCATTCTAAGGTAATCAAAACAACTAATGAAAACATAATTATGAATATCATATACCATTTCTGCAAATATATGCCTCTAAATTCTGCACGATGAACCTTTAAACTTTCTCTGAAAACCTAAATTCTCTTAATGAGCTCTTATGTTTAAAGCAATAGACATGTTGAGCATGTGAAATGCTATCAACGAAATGTGGTGACAAAAGAACCTAAACAAAAATCACATGTACAGTTTTAAGTATAAGAAAGGTTGAGTCATTTGGAAGGGGTTGCAGACAGTAATTGGATGTATTGAGCTAACAAAATAGTTTAAAGGATTACTTGTTGCCCCAAATGTGTACTTGCTGTAAAAATGAGAGAGGAGGGGCTACAACTACAAATTACTGCTCCTCCTGTGCCAAAGATGTGTGGGCATGATGGACTGAGACAAGAGAACTCCCTTTATGTGGATTGAGCTCAGCCTAACAGTAAATCTAGGGTTCTTTGGGTTCAGTGACTGAGTTTACGTTCAGTTTAAAGAGCCCATGGATCGGGTAAAGACCAAGGCATTACATGGATTAGTCCTACTCTTAAAACTGAGCGTTCCCCGCTTCAGGAAAAAAAAAAAGACTATTTGCTAAGACGTCTCCTTTGGAACCCTCCCACTGCACAAACACACACCTCTCATTCATAAACACCTCCAGGAGAGCTGCGCTGGTGTGTGAATTAGCAGTGCGAAACAAAATATTAGTCTGTGCGTGTACAGTAACTGTGTGTTTAATTAAATAAAAAATGTTCGTGTCAGATAGATGAAGAATCAAATTCCTGCATCACTGATGAACTGCGACAAAGAAGAAATGAGAGGTAAGTTCACGAGGCTGGTCAACAAGAGATCAGTCTCTGTGAGTGTTTCACTTCCAAACAGTGTGGGCAGGTGTCAGATTGAGAAAGCAGGGGTTTACTGGAGCTAATCAGATTACACTGTTGTCTAATCGGAGACAGCAGCAGACTCTGACCTTATGAGCTGCACAGCTCCATGAACACACACACACACACACACACACACACACACGCACGCAATAGTTTAATATGGATCAGCATAAGCAGAGTGTGTATGGTGTCAGAACAAGCTCACATCACCATCGCAAATAGACAGAAGCTACTGTACTGTATGTCTATATGATCATGCAAAATGAGTGGTTACACTCACATGCTCGAATGT